GAGTCGTAGAGATTTCGTAGAGGCTTAGCCGAAGAGAAAGAGAGATCCAGAAGACGTTTTAATGACACGTGTCCAACAAGCGCCGACGCTTTATGTGCTTAATTAAGCGTCGTTGTTTACATAAATACATAATTTTCTTTTTCTTTTAATTCGAAAATCACCTAAGCAACTCCCTAAGCGTCCGCGTTAATGATGCTCTTAGGAGCCTATATGTATTTTCATTTCTGATTAAACATGAACAAAATTTGAAGAAAACCGACATGATTAATTGATAGTGTATATATATGGTTGAATGAGTTAGAATTTGTGGTTGGGGGATTTTGGGGAAATACTGATCAATGAGACATGAAAATGATAGGATAGAAACATTGAATTAGAATAGTCATTTTCGTTGAGACATGCCTAACTCAAAGCAAATGTGGACTTGTTACTCTTTTTCAAATAAAGGGATTGGTCATTTAATAATATTGTCCATGATTGTGACGGTAGACTGTATTCTCCATCAATTCAGAGAGACGAAGAAACTGGACTTTGAACATTAGCTGATAGAAACATACTTCTTCTTAACGGCACATACATTGAGTAGTTTTTTGGAGCTTCTTCGTCAGAATGTGTGCCGTTTTGCTCTTAACTGGGCACTTGCACGTTTATAACCATTTCGGTCCATGTTGGGTCGACGCAGTCTCTAAACAACCAACAAATCTTTTAAAATTATAGAGGGAGAGCCTCGAGCCTGTTATGCAAGGAATAGTACTATAAATGGAGATACTTGAACCGCTATATAAATTGTTCTAGCACCAACATATTTTTATAGTTTGTACAATACCTAAAACCGATGCATAAACAATTTTTTTAACTAAAGTAAACGGAATTTTTTTTTAAGATTACAAATGCAAAAAAAAAAAAAAAAATTTCGCCGACATAATCTTTAAACATAGAGACTAACGAATATATCTCGAAAAACAGTAGAAAATTTTCGGCCCACCTCAAGAAAGAAGTAAAGAAGATTATTCGATATGTTTCACATACATTAGAGTCATTGTCACCTTATCTACATTATGAAGAAATAAAAATCATTATCTATATAACTTGGTAAGTTGGAATATGTGTATTGTTGTAATAAGGAGGTTAGTTATTTATTCCTGGACCTAACAATCAAATTGTAGGCGTAACCATTGTTTTAGTACACTTCATAGATCCTGATCAATTAGTATTTTTTTGTTGTGGACAATCGAGTTAGGTGCATTTATTTATGAGTTCGTCGTTGATATGTATACATATATAATCTTCACCATACGTGTTCTGAATATTTTTTCATGTATATATACGTACCATAAATGAAATAACATGAAATAGATGAGTACTGAGGATGGGAACTCAAAGGAAGTGATTATGGGTTGTGTGACCAGGAGACAAGATTCTCCACTATCTAAAGAATTCATCAAGTGGAGGCGCCCATAACTGTTGAATATGTATTATTTGTTTCTATAGAATAATGAAATTGAGGGTTGAATCCTCTTATCCAATGTCTATCTCACTTAACTATCCACTTGTACTCTCTATGTCTAATATTTTTCGCAGAAACGTATATATGAAAAGCTCAGCGGAATGATGCAAGTGTGATGGAACGAAAACTCAATGAAAAACACGATTTCATTGGATAGGAAATGACATTCCAAAAATTATAATGTATAAAATTAATAAAAACGGATAAACCAATATTGTATCTGTAAAATGTGTATATGACACGGTAGTCGTATGAAAATTGAGTGATATATTTTGTTACTTCTTTAGATGATACAAAATAAACAACAGCAAAAAGCCAAAAAAAAAGTACACGGATACGGAGATCAGTCTTTCAACACCAACGAAGCTTATACAGTAGTTCTTTATTTTACTATTTGAAAAAATCTTTTGTTCTATTGAAAGTAGAAATTTTCATTAAAATGTGTGAAACGTACCACTATGATTGCTTAAGCAATATGACAATGAGGAGTGTTCTTCTCCACACTGCGAGCCAAATTAGGAAAGTAGATATATCTTCTTGATTCTGAAGTGAACGTATAAATAATTGAAAAGATTATAAGGAGAAAGAGGGTAAAAATAATTATTTTCAAAGTATGGTGTGCTCATATTATATGGAGTATGTATAATCATTGAGTTATATGAAAAATGTTTGTGTTAGTAAATGGTCTCCAAACAATCGAGTGCTTCTAGAACCATCATTTTGACATAAAATACGTTAAGAGTTGGTCGCTTCGTCGGGTTAACCATTTATGAATTTGGTCCGTGCTCCTTCATGTGTGTGTATATAATACTATATATACGAATAAATATGGTTGGAGAAGGGTAGCATTGTAAATATAAGTGAACAGCAGGGAAGTTTATGGAAAAAAGAAAGACAAGATTTATGTCTTCTTATTGTTGTATGTACTTCAGAACGAAGCAAGTATATTTGGATTTGGTAAGGAAGAGGAAGAAGCTGCAGAAGCTGAGGTTCTTGACAGATGGCCTGAAGCACTTGAAGAGCACACAGGGTTAAGTCAGGCGAAAGAAGAAATTAAAAGAAAAGGTATATATATGATTAAATTTCATATATTTTAACGCTAATTAGGATGTTGAGTTGGATATATTATTGTAATATGTATTAGCATAAATATGGAGCTTGAACCTCACTTCGACTATGTTCTTGAATGTATACAATAATATTCTTTTTCATTATGAATTTGTACATTCTGTCTTTTTTTCCAACGCATCTTTCAGAATTTGTGACATTCGTGTTCATGAAAATCCAACACAATCTATATATTGTTTGCAGTGTTTTAGGCAAGGTGATGTTTATTGTTCATGATAAAGTTTACTGGATAAATTGGATTGGATTATTATGTTTGACTAATATGTGTATATATCTTCTTAACTGTAAGAAGAATTTGATTAAATAGATAGGATTGTTTAGAACTTCCAGAAATAATGAAACTAAAATTTTGTACCTCGGCTCAGATTAGCTGAATGTTAGTGAGATTAATTTTTTATTTTTTTACATATGTTTCATTTAAGATGTGAAGATTAATTTGTGAGATAGTATGTCCAACCACAGCTCAATATAATGTAGGTTGGGAGATGACTCTGAACTGTTTGTGTACGACCAAATGTTCTACTGCCAAGGTACAAAACTTTAGTTTCATTCTAAATAAATTAGAGAGAAACTGTAAATTATAAATTTAATTTTGAAGGAAAAATAAATTTTTTTATTTCAGAAAATAAGCTAAATTCAATATTTAACACTTATAATTTTTATTGAAAAATTTAAGATTATAGGGAAATTGCTAAAACTAGCACTTTGATGATACCATATTTCATTTTTACATTAACCAACTTTACACTTAAAATTTTGATAAGCAAAAGACTATAGTACCCTTGATTATTCAAACTATTGTACCCTTTGGATAATTAAACATCGGAGGAGCATGAGTAATCCAAGACGACGACGACAGATCCGGAGGATTCAACGACGAAGACAGATCCACAGGATTCAATGGCTTCCAAGGAGAAATCAACCGATTCGAATCAGACTCGAGGCTATACTGATTCAATGCGGGAGACTAAGCCGTAGCAACTCAGCGGCGGCGAAAAATTATTCTGGATCCAAGAGGAGCCGTCATCTTCAGGAACACAAGCAAGCAGAGGAGTACGAGCTATATAGGAAAGTGGTGACAGTCGTTTAAAAAATAATCAGAAAAATTGTAAAAGGTTTGTTTTCTTCTTCATCTCTCTTTCTCTGTGTTTTCCTGTTTTCCGGGAAAGTTCCCATGGATCCTCATCACTGTTCTTGTGTAGAGGAGAAGGAGATTGTGTTGCTTAAGAAAGAGAGATCGCAATCATGTGAGGAAGTGTTGGTGGGTGATATATGCTGTGATATGAGAAGTGATGTTTGGATTCCTCCAACTGTTGAACACGTATATGTTCTGGATGTCGAGTTGGTGAAAGAATAGATTCAGGTATCACATGATGCTGATGTTGAGCTTGTTGCAAATCACTTGTTTGATCAAGCTGTATTCTTGGTTGATAGTAAGTGGAGGCAAGCAAAGTATCTGAAAAATTGGAAATTCAAGTTCAAAGTCATGGTTAAAAGGAGGGGAAAGCCAGGCTTTACTAGTTTCAAGAACTCCTTGGATCTTAACGGAAATGCCTACCTCGGTTCTGTTTTGGGTGTCTTGTATGATCGTCAAGATGAGATATCACCAGCTGCAGTTTTAGGTGGAATTGATCAGATTATCTGGAGTCGTAAAGGTGTCAATGACAAGCTGAAGACACACCATGTGTATGCTAATATGTCTCTAAGGGTCACCATTAGGAAGAAGCAGCTGAAATGCTTAAAAAATGGATGTTCAAGTTTCAGAACATGGTCAGCTTCAGGCGGAGTAGGGGCAAGCTGTATCAGAAAACTCATGAGGGAGCTCAGCTTATTCAATCAACTAATACAGCCAAGTCAACAAAAGAATGTGCATCTTTTCATTCGGGGTGTGTTGAGAAGTCTAAGAAGAGCGAGCAGCCATTTCAAGATCTTTCAAGTGAAAAAGGCTCCACAGTGCTAGCAGCTTGTGATTGCAAAGTTGCAGGCTTTTGCCAAGTGATAGGTGGTTCAGTTACCGGCAGAGAAGGCATCACTGTGTGAACAAGAGTAGCTTTGCGCGGCTCCACTCTTATCTCAGCTTGTGATTGTGAAGTTGCAGGTTTCTGCAAAGGGATGTGTTCAGTTACTGGAGGAGAAGGCACCACAGTGTGAACAAGCGAAGCTCCATGCTTATCTGCTCTAAACTCAGCTCGTCTTTGAGAAGTTTCTGCAAAATAAATGGCAGAACGTGAGCTTCCTACACCTCAAGCTACTATCTCGGTGATTCTTGCAAGGTTTGGTACTAGAGGATTAAACGAGAGAGAAACCGTCAGCTTATTTGGTAGTCCTCACTTCCTTGCTATCAACAGCTCTCTCCATTCTTTTGCTATACACATGATCGTGTATTGGTTAACTCTTTGTGATATGATTCATTTCTTGTGATCGTTTGTAATGCAGGAGCACACAGCATAGGCATTACGCACTGCACATTCTTTGAGGACAGGCTATACAACTTCTCAGGAACTGGGAAGCCTGACCCTGAACTCGATACAGGGTTCCAGCAAGAACTGAAAACCAAGTGCCCCTTCTATGCCTAGGCGCCATCCCATAGCTCTGGACAGTCCATACCTGCATCAGATTACGGTACTGTGAGCTCAGCAGGGAGGAACGATGGCGTGATAGACATGAGCTACAACAACGAAGGAGGTGAGGAGAATTCTGGAACACGCTACTAAAGGAGACTGATGCAGAAGAAAGGGTTGATGTAGACTGATGTATGATGTATACAGTTGGTTAATTTGGTGTTTTATAAACTCTTATAAATAGATTTATAAACCTTGTAAATTATTTATAAACATTTATAAATAAATGTATAAACTCTTATAAATAGCTTATAAGTTCTTGCAAATAGTTTTATACACTCTTTTAAATAGTTTTATAAACCTTTATAAATAGTTATATAGATATATATGTGTTTTGTAAACTTTATAGATGGTTGACACAAGGTTTTATAAGCTCTTATAAACTTTATAAATGATTTTATAAACCTTTATAAATAATTATATAAATATTTATAAACTTTTTTTTTTATAAACCCTATATAAACTCTTCAAAACCTTTTATAAACCCTAACAAATCTTATATAAATTACTAAAGACTCAAACAAACCTTATGTTGTTCATAAATTTTTAGTGATAGAACATGTATGATGTTTCGCTTATTGTAAACTTTCATTTGGCATTAGTGGGAACTCATCAAAAAAAGAGTTCAAAATCCCATGTATCTACTTTTCATCAAATCATAATGTCATTACATAACTTGTTATGTAACTAGGGTGGAATCATCGTGCTTGAGACCGTCTCCATTAGCTACACACTGGTTTTATAAATCTTTATAAATTCATTAATCTAATTATATGATTTATAAACTCTCATAGATTAACTCTTAGAAATGGCTTCATAGACCTTATAAAAATTTAACAAACCCTTATAGAACCTTTATGAATCTTAAATTACACTTACAAAGACTTTAAAATAATTTTTACAATTTAGAAAGCCTTATAAAATCTAATAATAATTTATAAATGATTTTATAAATATTTATAAAGATCTATAAACCATTTATAAATAACTAATTAACTCTTATAAATTGATTTATAAACCCTTATAATTCTTTTGTAAACTCTTATAAATAAAGGGGACTTGTGAGTAATGTTTTAATATGATTTTATTAACCCTTATAAATGATTTATAAAATCTTATAAATGGTTTATAAAATTCTAAAAATGATATATAAACCTTCATATCTACACATATATAAACTAATTATAGGGGTTATAAGGTTATTTATTAATTTTAATAAATCCACTTTCGATTTATAAGAATTTATAAAGGTTTATAAATGACTTAAACAATGATTATTAACCAGTTTGGTAAGGCTTAACAACTATTTTATAAATACTTTCCTATTCTTGGAATCACCATTAATTAAATTATAGACTCCAGTAGATGTTTTATAAAGTATTATAAATCAATTTATAAAACCTTATGAATCAATTTAAACACTCTTGTAAATCAAAATATAAACTCTTTTTAGTTTATAATATTCATAAATCAGTTCATGGACCCTTATAAACCTTTATAAATGATATATAAGTTTATATATAACATAATAACTCTTGTGAATGTTTTATAAACCATTATAAATTATTTATAAATGTGTTATCCCACGGGAAACTGAGCGAGTTCATATGGAGATGAGAAATCTAGAAGTTAAGCATGACGTATCATCTTATTCGAGTATGGTATCTTGCTATTGGTGATTCCGATCTTGGCTCATATAACTGATTTATAAAAGTTTACAAAACTATTTATAAGAAGTATACACTTATTTATAAGAGCTTATAAATTTATTTATAAAGATTGATAAGTTATTTAATAATGTTTATATAATGAATTTGAATTTTATGAGTTTAAGATTATATAAACTCTTACAAAATGATTTATAAACTCTTATAAATTGATTTATAAACCCTTATATTTTTTTGTGAACTCTTATAAATTAATTTATAAACTCTTATAAATAAAGGGAAGTTATGAGTAATGTCTTAATATGATTACTAATCCATATAAATGATTTTATTGACCCTTGAAATGATTTATAAAATCTTAATTATAATGGTTTATAAACCCTTATATTTTTTTGTGAACTCTTATAAATTAATTTATAAACTCTTATAAATAAAAGGAAGTTATGAGTAATGTCTTAATATGATTACTAATCCATATAAATGATTTTATTAACAATTGAAATGATTTATAAAATCTATGATGCTATGACTGGACAAGAAGCTGCAGGATATACTATATAAATATGACATATTACCAACAAGTTTACCAACTAGTTGTTGGTAGTTTACAATATATTACCACAGACTAATGTTTATTGAATATATTAAAACTATGTCAAACATTAATCTACTGAATGAATCAAAAAGAAAAGAATGCCTTCTCTTCAACAACCCATAAAGAAGTTGAGAGATGGTAGATCGAACTCTTGCATTGTTTAAAGCTCCTCTTAGCTTTCGAGAGTATTAGCCAACACATCGTTGATTTGGCTCCACAACTATACAAAAGAATCCTTCTATTTTTCTTTCTCAATAATGGGAATCTCTATGCAAAAGTTAATCATCAGACTCTTGCACGAATATCAACTCGGAACAGTGAGTATTTTGTGTGAAAAAAAAGTTTGATGAATTGCTACTGTAATTTATGCAGGGTTTGATGTTGTGGACCTGACTGAAGATGGAACTGATGATGTAGAAGGACTGCATGTGACTGCAGCATATGCTGCAAATCTGTTGTCAAAATAAGCCTGCGACAGTAAGTTTTCCTTCCAAAAACTTGCCTCTTCATCCAGAAAAGAACAATGTTTATGAACTCAAACCTGTTTCTGTTTAACAAAACTACTTACAGCTGATGAAGGTCTCCGAGTTGCTCCACTAGAAGAGCTTAATCCAGGCGATGAGGTTGGTTGTCTAGATGTTAGATGGTTCCTTGCAGCAGGATCTGATGAGGAATTCGCCAGCTACAACAAATACAAATCACAGGTTACCATATGAAGATACAGAAACCACTTGAGAGATTAAAAAAATAATGGCACTTATTTGTTCAATTTAAGTGTGTAACAAACACGAAATTTATGTTGAATGTGCAAGTCTGAAACAATCTAACACGTAACAACATCCAACACATAAGAACTTGAGATGTAAACGTATCAGACTGATGCATTGCAGGTCTAATCAGGTAGTGACAATCCATTACATGTAACAACAATACATTAGTGAAGCTTTACTTTAAAACTAGTGGCACTACTTTTAGCAGTTGATTAAGAATCCAGGGTTTGATAGAAAGAGGTAAGAATAGTAAAGAATAATTTTATTACCCTAGAAGACAATGTAGCTGGGCGGCCCTTTGAATCACCACTCTGACTCATCATAGTCCTATGTGATTCCATCTCCAGAGAAGGGAATAGAGGAGTACCTGGAGGGGTCAGAAGCCTTTGAAAGACAAAGTAAAGTTAGATTGTGAAAGATATGACTTTTTTAAGAAAGTAAGAGTGAATGTCA